ATCATAAAAAATGTAGAAATCACACCATTTTTAGAAACATGCTTACAATTTCATTGCTCTAGAAGGGCGGGCATTTAAATAAACTCCGTCCAGCTGCCCCTACCGGAAATTAAATGGCCCGTCCGATAAAGGTTAATTGCATTCGAGCTACTGATAACAAGCATGGGTGTATGCAGACCCATATACCCTGGCTCCAAATGCTATAATTACAGACATACATTTAGCATTAACTGATGGCAGTAGTGAATTCATAATGGCAGATGTTGGGGTCCAGCAGTCATGTATCTATAATCTACGCTAGCAGACATGGAAACAAAATTATCCACATTTTTGTATGATAAACACATTTACTTTGCACACACATGATGAAACCGTGCAGTACAGAACTTTATGGAAGTTCATTGAATTTATAATCTCAGACCATCCCAGGCCCAAAATGTAGCGAAAAAATGCATCTTGCATACATCACACAAGATCTAGAGTAATGCAATGAAAATTATGATATGGGTATGATCATGTACAGCTATGTAATATGAGAAATTCAAAAGTTTAAAACATTTTTATAGGCTCTATAAAATAAATATAGTCACATGTTTGTGGTCATGACTAATTATAATGGGATTTGGTTTGGATGATTCAATTTATTGATCCCTCCTTTACAATTACTTGTAATCACAATAAACCTTCAACTAAACTAAGACTCAAGTCAAAGTCACATTGCAACTGATGGTCAGTCTGTCTGTCTTGGTGTCAAGCTACAGCTGGGGCTCATGAGCAGATATTACTTTTTAAATGAAAGTTACTGTCCTGTCTGACGAGAGGTCGGGTCTGTCATTTGTCGGTCATAGTCAATAGTATATTTAAGCATACTGTTACATTCCATACTTCTACGAGGGGAAGTCAATAATTATCCGCAATGCAGTTGTATTTGTGTTTCTGTTGGCAGCACTGTCATTTTGCGTGCAGCATCACCATGCATGGTTTCCTTGTCATTATTTCTGCGCAGGTTTGATGTTGCTAGGTCAGTTCCATCGTCGCTGCCTTGCCGTTAATCATGGCTGCTCTGCTTTCTGTTTGCACCAAAGAAGAGCAATGTTCAGTGATCCGGTTTTTGTGGTCAGAAGGTGTATCAGGGGCTGCAATCCATCAAAGACTTTCAGCAAAATACAGGAACAGTGTTTTGCCGCAACGGAGTGTCTACGAATGGACTGAAAAATTAAAAAATGGTCGCACAAGTGTTACGCATGAGGAAGGAGCCGGACAACCATCCACAGCCACAGATGAGGACAACGTTGAGTGTGCACGTGACATGGTTCTGTTAGATAGACGAGTGACTATTGATGAAGTGGCAAATCGTCTGCAAATTAGTCATGGTTCTGCCTACGAAATCATCCACAACAGACTTGGGTTTCATAAAGTCTGTGCAAGATGGGTCCCAAAACAACTCACAGTGTTGCATAAACAAACGTGCTTGGACATCTGCCAACAACATCTGGATCACTATGGTAATGAACGTGACATCTTCTTAGACAGAATCATCACTGGTGACGAAACATGGATCCATCATTGCGAGCCAGAGGCTAAACGGCAGAGTATGGAATGGAAACATCCACAATCGCCCAGCAAGGAAAAGTTCAAAAGCCAACCATCTGCAGGAAAACTGATGTTAACAGTTTTTTGGGACTCACAAGGCCCAGTACTGGAACATTATCATGAGAGGGGCACAACAATAAACAGTGCTCGTTACAGTGAGATGCTTACTGACAGGCTAAATCCTGCAATTTGAAGCAAACGCAGAGGACTACTGTCAGGTGTTGTG